CATGCTATGGGCCATTTGTGCCAAGGAATGCGAGGGACTCCCTGCCTCCATCTCCACAGCATACTGCCACGGTGCGTCTGGGTCCTCTGTCTCCTCCTCCTCCTCCTCCTCTACCAGATGCTCCTGCTCCTCCACTCCTGTCCGCTGAGTGGAAAAACCACCCATTTCACTCAATAATTCCTGAGCACCAATGTCCTCCTCTACCTCCTCCTCTTCTTCCTGTCCTGCCCCCACAGGGGTCATGTGGCGTTGAGATCTGTGCGCCACGTCTACCGCACCCTGACCAGCCCATTGTTAACAGCATTTGTTCCAGGACGTGCAACAGAGGAATGACGTCGTTCATCCCATAGTCCTGCCTGCCGACTCACGAATAGCGTGGCCTCCTCAAAGGGCCTGAGCAAGCGCAGGTGTCACGCATGAGCTGCCAATGGCTGACATCTAAGTTACACAGGGAGTACCTTTATCCGCTTTTAACATCAGGAAATCTGTGATGGCCTTTCGCTGTTCGTAAAGGCGGTCTAACATGAGGGGTTGAATTCCACCTTGTTGCAACGTCACAGCATGAGGAGTCGGTACGGGGGCCCATGGCAGATTACGTGCCTGGCAGCAGCAATGGGAGGCCCGTAATCTGCCAGCACCCTATGTCAAAAAATGGAACACACAGCAGCAGTGTGAGGAGACCTGAAAGTGGCACATGGCAGAGTGTGGCGATGGAGACAGCAGCAATGGGAGGCTACAGGGACCCATGAGAGACTCTGGACCTGGCAGCAGCATGAGGAGGCGGTATATAGGGGCCTATGGCAGATTAGGGGCCTGGCAGCAGCTATAGGAGGCCCGTAATCTGCCAGCACCCTATGTCAAAAAATTCAACACACCAGCAGTGTGAGGAGGAGACCTGAAAGTGGCACATGGCAGTGTGGCACTGGGACCTGCAGCAATGGGAGGAGGACAGGGACCCATGAGAGACTCTGGACCTGGCAGCAGCATGAGGAGGCAGGTATAGGGGCCCATGGCAGATTAGGGGCCTGGCAGCAGCTATGGGAGGCCCGTAATCTGCCAGCACCCTATGTCAAAAAATTCTACACACCAGCAGTGTGTGAGGAGACCTGAAAGTGGCACATGGCAGAGTGTGGCGATGGAGACAGCAGCAATGGGAGGCCGTACAGGGACCCATGAGACTCTGGACCTGGCAGCAGCATGAGGAGGCGGTATATAGGGGCCTATGGCAGATTAGGGGCCTGGCAGCAGCTATGGGAGGCCCGTAATCTGCCAGCACCCTATGTCAAAAAATTCTACACACCAGCAGTGTGTGAGGAGACCTGAAAGTGGCACACATGGCAGAGTGTGGCGATGGAGACAGCAGCAATGGGAGGCCGTACAGGGGACCCATGAGAGACTCTGGACTTGGCAGCAGCATGAGGAGGCGGTATATAGGGGCCCATGGCAGATTAGGGGCCTGGCAGCAGCAATGGGAGGCCCGTAATCTGCCAGCACCCTATGTCAAAAAATTCTACACACCAGCAGTGTGTGAGGAGACCTGAAAGTGGCACATGGCAGAGTGTGGCGATGGAGACAGCAGCAATGGGAGGCCGTACAGGGACCCATGAGAGACTCTGGACCTGGCAGCAGCATGAGGAGGCGGTATATAGGGGCCTATGGCAGATTAGGGGCCTGGCAGCAGCTATGGGAGGCCCGTAATCTGCCAGCACCCTATGTCAAAAAAATTCTACACACCAGCAGTGTGTGAGGAGACCTGAATAGTGGCACATGGCAGAGTGTGGCGATGGAGGACAGCAGCAATGGGAGGCCGTACAGGGACCCATGAGAGACTCTGGACCTGGCAGCAGCATGAGGAGGCGGTATATAGGGGCCTATGGCAGATTAGGGGCCTGGCAGCAGCTATAGGAGGCCCGTAATCTGCCAGCACCCTATGTCAAAAAATTCTACACACCAGCAGTGTGTGAGGAGACCTGAAAGTGGCACATGGCAGAGTGTGGCGATGGAGACAGCAGCAATGGGAGGCCGTACAGGGACCCATGAGAGACTCTGGACCTGGCAGCAGCATGAGGAGGCGGTATATAGGGGCCTATGGCAGATTAGGGGCCTGGCAGCAGCTATAGGAGGCCCGTAATCTGCCAGCACCCTATGTCAAAAAATTCTACACACCAGCAGTGTGAGGAGACCTGAAAGTGGCACATGGCAGAGTGTGGCGATGGAGACAGCAGCAGCAGCATGGGAGGCCGTACAGGGACCCATGAGAGACTCTGGACCTGGCAGCAGCATGAGGAGGCGGTATATAGGGGCCTATGGCAGATTAGGGGCCTGGCAGCAGCTATGGGAGGCCCGTAATCTGCCAGCACCCTATGTCAAAAAATTCTACACACCAGCAGTGTGTGAGGAGACCTGAAAGTGGCATGGGCAGAGTGTGGGCGATGGAGACAGCAGCAATGGGAGGCCGTACAGGGACCCATGAGAGACTCTGGACCTGGCAGCAGCATGAGGAGGCGGTATATAGGGGCCTATGGCAGATTAGGGGCCTGGCAGCAGCTATGGGAGGCCCGTAATCTGCCAGCACCCTATGTCAAAAAATTCTACACAGCAGTGTGTGAGGAGACCTGAAAGTGGCACATGGCAGAGTGTGGCGATGGAGGAGACAGCAGCAATGGGAGGCCGTACAGGGACCCATGAGAGACTCTGGACCTGGCAGCAGCATGAGGAGGAGGCGGTATATAGGGGCCTATGGCAGATTAGGGGCCTGGCAGCAGCTATAGGAGGCCCGTAATCTGCCAGCACCCTATGTCAAAAAATTCTACACACCAGCAGTGTGTGTGAGGAGACCTGAAAGTGGCACATGGCAGAGTGTGGCGATGGAGACAGCAGCAATGGGAGGCCGTACAGGGACCCATGAGAGACTCTGGACCTGGCAGCAGCATGAGGAGGCGGTATATAGGGGCCTATGGCAGATTAGGGGCCTGGCAGCAGCTATAGGAGGCCCGTAATCTGCCAGCACCCTATGTCAAAAAATTCTACACACCAGCAGTGTGTGAGGAGACCTGAAAGTGGCACATGGCAGAGTGTGGCGATGGAGACAGCAGCAATGGGAGGCCGTACAGGGACCCATGAGAGACTCTGGACCTGGCAGCAGCATGAGGAGAGGAGGGGGTATATATAGGGGCCTATGGCAGATTAGGGGCCTGGCAGCAGCTATGGGAGGCCCGTAATCTGCCAGCACCCTATGTCAAAAAATTCTCACACACCAGCAGTGTGAGGAGACCTGAAAGTGGCACATGGCAGAGTGTGGCGATGGAGACAGCAGCAATGGGAGGCCGTACAGGGACCCATGAGAGACTCTGGACCTGGCAGCAGCATGAGGAGGCGGTATATAGGGGCCTGGCAGATTAGGGGCCTGGCAGCAGCTATGGGAGGCCCGTAATCTGCCAGCACCCTATGTCAAAAAATTTACTACACACCAGCAGTGTGTGAGGAGACCTGAAAGTGGCACATGGCAGAGTGTGGCGATGGAGACACAGCAGCAATGGGAGGCCGTACAGGGACCCATGACAGACTCTGGACCTGGCAGCAGCATGAGGAGGCGGTATATAGGGGCCTATGGCAGATTAGGGGCCTGGCAGCAGCTATAGGGAGGCCCGTAATCTGCCAGCACCCTATGTCAAAAAATTCTACACACCAGCAGTGTGTGAGGAGACCTGAAAGTGGCACATGGCAGAGTGTGGCGATGGAGACAGCAGCAATGGGAGGCCGTACAGGGACCCATGAGAGACTCTGGACCTGGCAGCAGCATGAGAGAGGCGGTATATAGGGGCCTATGGCAGATTAGGGGCCTGGCAGCAGCTATAGGAGGCCCGTAATCTGCCAGCACCCTATGTCAAAAAAATTCTACACACCAGCAGTGTGTGAGGAGACCTGAAAGTGGCACATGGCAGAGTGTGGCGATGGAGACAGCAGCAATGGGAGGCCGTACAGGGACCCATGAGAGACTCTGGACCTGGCAGCAGCATGAGGAGGCGGTATAGGGGCCCCATGGCAGATTAGGGGCCTGGCAGCAGCTATAGGAGGCCCGTAATCTGCCAGCACCCTATGTCAAAAAATTCTACACACCAGCAGTGTGAGGAGACCTGAAAGTGGCACATGGCAGAGTGTGGCGATGGAGACAGCAGCAATGGGTACAGGGACCCATGACAGGGACCCATGAGAGACTCTGGACCTGGCAGCAGCATGAGGAGGCGGTATATAGGGGCCCATGGCAGATTAGGGGCCTGGCAGCAGCTATGGGAGGCCCGTAATCTGCCAGCACCCTATGTCAAAAAATTCTACACACCAGCAGTGTGTGAGGAGACCTGAAAGTGGCACATGGCAGAGTGTGGCGATGGAGACAGCAGCAATGGGAGGCCGTACAGGGACCCATGAGAGACTCTGGACCTGGCAGCAGCATGAGGAGGCGGTATATAGGGGCCTATGGCAGATTAGGGGCCTGGCAGCAGCTATAGGAGGCCCGTAATCTGCCAGCACCCTATGTCAAAAAATTCTACACACCAGCAGTGTGTGAGGAGACCTGAAAGTGGCACATGGCAGAGTGTGGCGATGGAGACAGCAGCAATGGGAGGCCGTACAGGGACCCATGAGAGACTCTGGACCTGGCAGCAGCATGAGGAGGCGGTATATAGGGGCCTATGGCAGATTAGGGGCCTGGCAGCAGCTATAGGAGGCCCGTAATCTGCAGCACCCTATGTCAAAAAATTCTACACACCAGCAGTGTGTGTGAGGAGACCTGAAAGTGCACATGGCAGAGTGTGGCGATGGAGACAGCAGCAATGGGCAGGCCGTACAGGGACCCATGAGAGACTCTGGACCTGGCAGCAGCATGAGGAGGCGGTATATAGGGGCCTATGGCAGATTAGGGGCCTGGCAGCAGCTATGGGAGGCCCGTAATCTGCCAGCACCCTATGTCAAAAAATTCTACACACCAGCAGTGTGTGTGGAGACCTGAAAGTGGCACATGGCAGAGTGTGGCGATGGAGACAGCAGCAATGGGAGGCCGTACAGGGACCCATGAGAGACTCTGGACCTGGCAGCAGCATGAGGAGGCGGTATATAGGGGCCCATGGCAGATTAGGGGCCTGGCAGCAGCTATGGGAGGCCCGTAATCTGCCAGCACCCTATGTCAAAAAATTCAACACACCAGCAGTGTGAGGAGACCTGAAAGTGGCACATGGCATGAGAGACTGTGGGACCCATGAGAGACTCCTGGCAGCAGCATGAGGAGGCGGTATAGGGGCCCATGGCAGATTAGGGCTGGCAGCAGCTATGGGAGGCCCGTAATCTGCCAGCACCCTATGTCAAAAAATTCAACACACCAGCAGTGTGTGAGGAGACCTGAAAGTGGCACATGGCAGAGTGTGGCGATGGAGACAACCCACCGACTGTTTTGCTCGCTGCCAAGCTGCCACCCTCTTCTCCTGATGATGCGGAAGCAATAGCCTGATGACGACGAGGCTGCCAAGTGCGATCAGCCTCATCATCATCAATTAGGGTCTCCGCCTCACTACTAGCCCCCTCGGCTGCGTGTGGGTCAGGAGACAGACCTGTCTCTACACCGGCTACCGAGCCACTCTCCTCGCCACTACTTCTTCGCCTGGCTGCTGAAGAGGCGGATGTCTCCCCCCGTTCCTGACCGCCCTCTGTTAGCTCTTCCTCACTGTACTGGATGACACCGGGAGCACTAGCCTCTGGCTGCGAATAGTGCTGCCTCGACCCCTTCCTCTGCTGCCACGTCTGCTCGCTCCTAAAACATTGCCTCCTCTGCTGCACTCCTCTGCATGTTGTCTGACATACTCTTTAATTAAACGATTCTGTGTCCCTGAGTAACAATTCTGTGGCCCTAAGTAACGGTTCTGTGGCCCTCAGTAACAGTTCTGTGTCCCTGAGTAACAATTCTGTGTCTGTGCGAGTAACAATTCTGTGGCCCTAAGTAACAGTTCTGTGGCCCTCAGTAACAATTATGTGTCCCTAAGTAACGGTTCTGTGGCCCTCAGTAACAATTCTGTGTCCCTGTGTAACAATTCTGTGTCTGTGCGAGTAACAATTCTGTGGCCCTAAGTAACAGTTCTGTGGCCCTCAGTAACAGTTCTGTGTCCCTGAGTAACAATTCTGTGTCTGTGCGAGTAACAATTCTGTGGCCCTAAGTAACAGTTCTGTGGCCCTCAGTAACAGTTCTGTGTCCCTGAGTAACAATTCTGTGTCTGTGCGAGTAACAATTCTGTGGCCCTAAGTAACAGTTCTGTGGCCCTCAGTAACAATTCTGTGGCCCTAAGTAACGGTTCTGTGGCCCTCAGTAACAATTCTGTGTCCCTGTAACAATTCTGTGTCCCTGTGTAACAATTCTGTGTCTGTGCGAGTAACAATTCTGTGGCCCTAAGTAACAGTTCTGTGGCCCTCAGTAACAGTTCTGTGTCCCTGAGTAACAATTCTGTGTCTGTGCGAGTAAGAATTCTGTGTCTGTGCGAGTAACAATTCTGTGGCCCTAAGTAACGGTTCTGTGGCCCTCAGTAACAGTTCTGTGTCCCTGTGTAACAATTCTGTGTCTGTGCGAGTAACAATTCTGTGGCCCTAAGTAACAGTTCTGTGGCCCTCAGTAACAATTCTGTGTCCCTGATAACGTTTCTGTGGCCCCAAGTAACAGTTCTGTGGCCCTCAGTAACAATTCTGTGTCTGTGCGAGTAACAATTCTGTGTCTGTGCTGTGGCCCTAGTAACAATTCTGTGGCCCTAACAGTTCTGTGGCCCTCAGTAACAATTCTGTGTCCCTGATTAACGTTTCTGTGGCCCTAAGTAACAGTTCTGTGGCCCTCAGTAACAATTCTGTGTCTGTGCGAGTAACAATTCTGTGTCTGTGCGAGTAACAATTCTGTGGCCCTAAGTAACAGTTCTGTGGCCCTCAGTAACAATTCTGTGTCCCTGATTAACGTTTCTGTGGCCCCAAGTAACAGTTCTGTGGCCCTCAGTAACAATTCTGTGTCTGTGCGAGTAACAATTCTGTGGCCCTAAGTAACAATTCTGTGGCCCTCAGTAACAGTTCTGTGTCCCTGAGTAACAATTCTGTGTCTGTGCGAGTAACAATTCTGTGTCTGTGCGAGTAAACAATTCTGTGGCCCTAAGTAACAGTTTTGTGGCCCTCAGTAACAGTTCTGTGTCCCTGAGTAACAATTCTGTGTCTGTGCGAGTAACAATTCTGTGGCCCTAAGTAACAGTTCTGTGGCCCTCAGTAACAGTTCTGTGTCCCTGAGTAACAATTCTGTGTCTGTGCGAGTAACAATTCTGTGTCTGCGAGTAACAATTCTGTGTCCCTAATTCAATAATAAAATTCTGTGGCCCTAAGTAACGGTTCTGTGGCCCTCAGTAACACCGTTCTGTGTCTGTGTCCCTGTGTAACAATTCTGTGTCTGTGCGAGTAACAATTCTGTGGCCCTAAGTAACAGTTCTGTGGCCCTCAGTAACACAATTCTGTGTCTGTGCGAGTAACAATTCTGTGTCTGTGCGAGTAACAATTCTGTGGCCCTAAGTAAAACAGTTCTGTGGCCCTGGCCCTCAGTAACAATTCTGTGTCCCCAGTAACAATTCTGTTAACAATTCTGTGGCCCTCAGTAGTAACAGTTCTGTGGCCCTCAGTAAAATTCTGTGTCTGTGCGAGTAACAATTCTGTGTCTGTGCCCTAACAATTCTGTGGCCCTAGTAACAATTCTGTGGCTGTGTAACAATGTAACAAATTCTGTGGCCCTCAGTAACAATTCTGTGTCCCTGAGTAAAAACGTTTCTGTGGCCCCAAGTAACAGTTCTGTGGCCCTCAGTAACAATTCTGTGTCTGTGCGAGTAACAATTCTGTGTCTGTGCGAGTAACAATTCTGTGGCCCTAACTAACAGTTCTGTGGCCCTAAGTAACAGTTCTGTGTCCCTGAGTAACAATTCTGTGTCTGTGCGAGTAAAATTCTGTGTCTGTGCGAGTAACAATTCTGTGGCCCTAAGTAACAGTTCTGTGGCCCTCAGTAACAGTTCTGTGTCCCTGAGTAACAATTCTGTGTCTGTGCGAGTAACAATTCTGTGTCTGTGCGAGTAGTAACAATTCTGTGTCTGTGCGAGTAACAATTCTGTGTCTGTGCGAGTAACAATTCTGTGGCCCTAAGTAACGGTTCTGTGGCCCTCAGTAACAGTTCTGTGGCCCTGTGTAACAATTCTGTGTCTGTGCGAGTAACAATTCTGTGGCCCTAAGTAACAGTTCTGTGGCCCTCAGTAACAATTCTGTGTCCCTGATTAACGTTTCTGTGGCCCCAAGTAACAGTTCTGTGGCCCTCAGTAACAATTCTGTGTCTGTGCGAGTAACAATTCTGTGTCTGTGCGAGTAACAATTCTGTGGCCCTAAGTAACAGTTCTGTGGCCCTCAGTAACAATTCTGTGTCTGTGCGAGTAACAATTCTGTGTCTGTGCGAGTAACAATTCTGTGTCTGTGCGAGTAACAATTCTGTGGCCCTAAGTAACGGTTCTGTGGCCCTCAGTAACAGTTCTGTGTCCCTGTGTAACAATTCTGTGTCTGTGCGAGTAACAATTCTGTGGCCCTAAGTAACAGTTCTGTGGCCCTCAGTAACAATTCTGTGTCTGTGCGAGTAACAATTCTGTGTCTGTGTGAGTAACAATTCTGTGGCCCTAAGTAACAGTTCTGTGGCCCTCAGTAACAATTCTGTGTCTGTCCCTGAGTAACAATTCTGTGGCCCTAACTAAAGTTTCTGTGGCCCTAAGTAACAATTCTCTGGCACTCAGTAACAATTCTGTCTGTCCCTGAGTAACAATTCTGTGGCCCTAATAACGTTTCTGTGGCCCTAAGTAACAATTCGCTGGCACTCAGTAACAATTCTGTCTGTCCCTGAGTAACAATTCTGTGGCCCTAATAACGTTTCTGTGGCCCTAAATAACAATTCTCTGGCACTCAGTAACAATTCTGTCTGTCCCTGAGTATGAATTCTGTGGCCCTAACTAGCGTTTCTTTGTCCCTAAGTAACGATTCTGTGGCCCTAATTAACAATTCTGTATCCCTGAGTAATAGTTCTCTGTCCCTAAGTATCGTTTCTCTGTCCCCAAGTATCGTTTCTGTGGCCCTAACTCTGTCCCTGTCCCTAATACAGAGCGGTCTGCCTCTGTTCAATGACTGCAGGCAAATGAAGAATTCCAAAATGGCCGCTATTTATAGCTCGACCATTACACAGTGCTAGCTGGCTGGCTGCTGATTGGCTGATGCGATCACATGTCGTTGAGGAATGCATTATGGGTCAGCGCGCCTTGTCTGCGCGCCTTCCCAGACATCCCCGCTCCGTCGCCGCACATGTCAGCCGCCATTTTCGGAAAAATTTCGATTCGCGTTTCCGAATTAGGCTATTTTTCGGATTCGGCGCAAATCGAAATTTTTCCGATATTCGACTCGAATTCCACTTCGGCTACTTCGATTCGCTCATCTCTAGTCACAACTTTGTGGGAACAGTTTGGGGATGGTCCCATCCTGTTCCAACATGACTGCACACCAGTGCACAAAGCAAGGTCCATAAAAGAAATGGATGAGCGAGTTTGAGGTGGAGGAACTTGATTGGCCTGCACAGAGTACTGACCTCAACCCGATAGAACACCTTTGGGGTGAATTAGAGCGGAGGCTGTGAGCCAGGCCTTCTAGTCCGACATCAGTGCCTGACCTTCACAAATGCGCTTCTATATAGAATAGTCAAACCTTCCCATAGACACACTCCTAAACATTGTGGACATCCTTCTCAGAAGCTGGTACAGCTGCAAAGTGTGGGCCAACTCAGTATTGAACCCTACAGACTAAGATCAGGATGTCATTAAAGTGTGTGTGTGTGTGTGTGTGTGTATGTGTGTGTGTAGCCATCCCAATACCTTTGGCAATATAGTTTATATGGTTTAGTCCCTGTTCACATGTATCCATTTCTGCTGTCATTATTTCTTCATTACAATTCTTTATTGCTAATATTTGTGCATTTTTGCATGTTTTCATGAGTTGCATTTTTTTGTTTTAGCCAATGAAAATTATTTTCCTGTAGTGACATTATGAGGGAATGTACTTCTTAGTTTTCTGTGTCTGGAGTTGGGAAAACCTGGTTGATTTACACTGCCACAGCAACTGTTGCAGCATTCATTTTGGCTGAGAACATGGCAGGTGAATTGTGGCTTAACTCATGACATATATCCAGGGGAAGTGCTTGTAACCATGGGATGACAAGCTGCCATGTGCTCATTGTGGCGGTTGTGCGGCGTCAGACCCCAGCCCTTCTCACCAACTTGTGACCGAAGGACCAGCCGATCTCAGACCGCTCTGTCATTTGCGTAACAATGCCA